CCGTTCGGTAGCATTTGTGTGGTCTACGTGCTTGCGTTTGTTCTTGTCAGCATGCGGGCCTGAGTGTCTGACTGTTGGGCGCGTTATTAGTCAATGCCTGCGTCCAAAGTGCATCATCAGCACAAGGTCCCATGGGTGACAGTATACTGCCTGACGCGCATACGTTAGACCCAGGTGCAAGTGCGGCCGTGACCGAGCTCAGCCGAAGTCTGGGGGTACCGCGATTAGCAAGCTTGTCGTCGCAGTCGTCGGGACGCCAGCGAAGGGGGCAGTGGAGCGGGACCAGAGTGAATCATACGTATAGCTGACTTCCCTTTGTACTTCTAAAAGGATTCTTTTGTGGGCAGACATGCCAGATTTGCAAGTGTACAGTAGATATGCTTCCTGACCAGCTTCCTTGTACATTTTGTACTTGTTGCGGCTGCGACCATAACTGATCTGGCCGGCCTCGGTGATGTCTGGTATGGTGTTTCTCCACGCGTGACTTTCCGTAGCAGCAGACCTGGACAGTTTGAGCCATTCCCTTCGCCAGTGCCGAAGACCGAAGACGACATAACCTGCTACCAAAATATATTTCAATTTATAAGGGCATCGGAGATCAACGAGCCAAATGCATGCTATGTAAATAGTCCCTTTTTATAGATTGTATTTTTTAAAGTCGGTTGGAAAGGATCTGGTTTAAAAGCCGGCATCCTGACGTGTCTCTGAAATATGTTTGCATTTTGCTGCACGAGTATTAATCCTACAGTATTATCTTTAATCTAAAACACGTTTTAGAACGGCTTGTCGCTCGCCCGAATTATGGCTTTATTTGTCTGTACACTCGAAATCTTACTGGAGTCCGTCGTGAAACATAAAACTGGCAACGAAAAGCAAGCAGCAGTTATACGGGGCAGGAACCAACCCACCACCAGGGGCGTCAGTCCGCAGGTGACTGCGTAAGGCTCTGTATGCCGGCGCCAGATCGATAATTCGCTTGACTGAGTTCTCATCAGAGGCCCAGGCTTCAATCGATTTTCGGCCTGCCTTGCTTCTGGCGTGGACGATTACCTTTGTGGCTGCGAAGTTAAAATCATATCTCGTATGCCG